TCAGCCTTATGGAGATGGGTACATCCTTGTGGGAGTAGGTGCAACCTTGTTCCAACCCTACTAGGAAGTGTTACCTTCTGGAGGTGGCGGTGGAGCGCCGGCTCAGTGTGTTGTGGAGGGAGGTGTAGTGTTATGGGAGGTGGGTGCGTCTGCAGGGGTAGATGGAGTGTTCTGGGGGCAACTGCATCCCCATGGTGGCAACTGTGGCCCTACTGGGGTAAGTGTGATCTTACAGGTAGGTGCAAGCTTATGGGTCAGCTGTAACCCTCTGGGACCAGGGGAACCCGTGTTGATTTCCAGCCGAGGTGTAGGTGGGGTGGGATGCAAAGCTGGCTCTGTGGTACTCAGCAGCACAACTGGGTTGGGGACTGCCCCAGGGAGCAGAGCACATACACACTGCAAAAGGGCTCAGCAGGGAGGCTCTCGTGTCAGGAACCCCACAGGGATCTCTTCTTAGAGTGTGTAGAAGGGCAGAAGGAGGGACAGGGTTGGAGGGCAGGCAGCCAGGTCAGCCAGAGCTGGCATGTGTCTGTGCTGGCAGGAGAATGCCCAGGGCTGCTGTGTGTATGTGCGGTGTCAGCTACAAATCTCCCACAGTGTCTTCACAAAAGGGAGAAAGCAATCTGATTTGGGCTGTGGGATTTAGAGGGGGCATGAAAGACATTCAATAGCTTTGCAGCATAAAGAAAAAAAAGATATTTATGTTGGGAGGAAAGTGTGTCCAACCTTGGGACAAGCGTGACAAATCCTAGGAGTTATGGAAAGTGCAATGATACCTATTTCCTAAATATCCCCCAGTCAAAAACGGCGCTGTCTTTCAGTCTCACATTTAAAAACCATGCTTATTTCTCTCTGCAACTCTCCTAACAGGAGCTGGTGACCTGACTGGGGATGCTATGGGCTACGTGACAGGCGTGCTGGCCGTGCTGATACACGCTGCCTACCTGGTGCTCATTCAGAAGACCAGTATAGATAGTGAATATGGACCCCTGACAGCTCAGTATGCCATTGCTGTTTCAGCCACCCCTTTTCTCATCATCTGCTCCTTTGCCAGCATGGATTCCATCAATGTCTGGTCCTTCCCAGGGTGGAAGGACCCTGCCATGGTATGCATCTTTATTGCTTGTGTCCTGATTAGCTGTGCCATGAATTTTACCACCCTTCACTGCACTTACATTAACTCGGCTGTGACCACCAGCTTTGTAGGGGTGGTGAAGAGCATAGCCACTATCACAGTGGGTATGGTGGCATTCAATGATGTGGTGCCCACAAAGTTATTTATAGCTGGTGTTGTGGTCAACACCTTGGGGTCTGTCATTTACTGCGTGGCCAAGTACATTGAGACCAGACGGCAGAGCAATTATGAGGACCTGGAGAAAGAAGCTAGAGAAGAGGAGGGGAAAAGGCAGGATGGGGACCAAACTCTGTTTGCAATGGAGACAATTTCCCAGGAGAAGGGGGCTGAGGAAGCAGCAGTGGAAGGATCAGCCACTGGGGACATCCAGAGTGGAGAGGAAGACATCATCACTGAGAAATCTGGCAAGACGCCGGTGGTCCAGGGAAAATCCACCATCACACAAGAAGTGAACAGAAGCTCACTGAAAGAAGCCTATCTTGGAGTATGGAGGTTGGTGAGGGGTGCTAATTATATAAAGAAGGATTATTTGATAGAAAATGAAGAGCTACCAAACCCTTAAAAAGCAGGTTTGAAAACCTATTGCTCGAAGACAGACACCTGGTTCTCTGTACAGGGGGAAAGGCAGAGCATACATTTCCACATCAATGCTGACAAATCCAAATCATGCAGGATGACTTTACCTCATTGTCAAAATCAAAAATAGTTTGCTCATGCTTTGGGCTTGCTTTCAGCTGCTTTCAGTACATCACTTTAGACCCACCTCAGCTAAGGCGCCAAGTCCTCTGCTGCAGACACAGAGTTGGGTAGTGGGAAGCACACGGTGCTTGCCCAGCAGCCTGAGTTATGAGGGACATCAGTACCATATTGTTAGTTGGCAGTGCCAGGGACACAGCAGTGGGCTGTAGCTTAGCTTGTATCTGGAGCCTTGTGATTTTAACACTATTCAGAGGCTCTGTCAATGTGCTTCCGTATCTGTATCCATCCAGTTATAGGTACTCTATATAAATATGTTCCTACAATATATAAACTCCTATTAACTGTACTTTTTTGTGCTCCTCTGTGTCAGTACAATTGCAACAGAGCTAGAGGTTGTGCCATTTCAGTTATATTGGTATAAAATCACTCTGTTAACTGAAGAAATTAAACCCTCCAGGCTGAGCCTTGGACCCGGTTTACCTTGGGTGGTTTGTGTCTCCAGTAGAAATACTTTTGTCTTGTGGTGGTGTACATGAAAGCAGAATCAGATCTGAACTTTTGAGAAGCTTTGCTTGGCAAAAGAAGAATGTTTTTCTATGAGCTTTAACTACATGTAGCATTTGGAATATTAGCCTAACTCAAAAGAGTTTGGAAAGTTGATATGTATTGATTGGATTTGGGAGGGCTAAAAAAAATTAGAGAGAAAGTGTGTGCCTTGTGTTATCCCTCCTTGTACCCTAAAGTCAGGTGAATCAGCCTGGACTGGAACCTAGGTGTCCTCTCCATCCATTCTTTCATAAGTAGAGGCTGATAGCAGAACTGGGGACACCAGCTCTCTGGAATTCCCGGGGTGCTTTTGCAGGACAGTTCTGCTCTATCGTGGCCACGTGTCGGTACGTGGCTGTGTGTGTATCAGCCCTTGCTATCCCTGTGCTGCGGTGTCCAGTGGAAGGAAGCGTGGCAGGCAGGAACTGTAGTGTGCTCTGGCAGATCCCCTGGCTGAGTCCTTTGGGCCAGGGTGCTCAGTGTACTCAGCATCAGGACATCCATGGCTTTGGTAGAAGCAGCTCCCCAGTGTCCAGACTGACCCTGTGGGCTGCAAGGGGCAGAGCTGCATCTCTCCCTGGCCGCTTAAGCGCTCCTGTGTGAAGTGGGAGGCAGGCACTCTAGCGAGGCCTCTGCTTGAATATGCTAATATTTTGTCCCACATCTGTCTAACTGAAAAGATTGTGGAAACAAATGTTTGAGTGTTTTTTAGCCTGGGGATATCCTTTTGGTAGGTGGAGGTCCTTGGGTGAAACCTTTGCTCAGAACTAGATAGAGAAAAGATTTGACCCTGAGTATTTCTCATCCCAAAAGGGTGCCCCAGCCATTGGGGCAATCTTGACCAGAGTCTGAAACAAGCTGTTATCAGCTGCTGAAAAAAATGAACGAAGTTTGTTGTTGTTGTTTTTAATATTGTTGTTATTAATAATTATTTATTATTATTTATTAAGCCACTGAACTGAAAATCAATTATTCCCAGAGCCCTAATTAATCAGTGCCTAGCCCAATGCTCTCTCAAGCCTAGCAGGCGGCATTAGCCTCACAGCACGTTCAGCGCTGCAGTCCGAAGTGAGCAATTTGCCCAGCAGGGAATATTTGCAAAACTGCTCTCTGGGGGAGCTTTAGATTCTTGTCAATAAATGCAGGCAGAAACATCAGGTGCTGTGGCAGTATGTTTTCTGAGAGAGTGCAGAAGTTGACTGACCTGGCATCACCCATGAGTTTTGAAAGACATTTGGGCTAAAAGCCTGTAGCTGCTGAGCTGGGGGATGGGGCATGGAGATCTGTACATCACACGTTATGTATAGCTTGTGTTTAAGAGTTGAGAGGTACTGGCTGTAGGCCAAAATGCGTTTGCTTTCTGTTTAAGCTCCATATGGGATCTTTTCAGTAAAAGCACTATTTATTGTCTCTAGGCTGATTTAATAGGGCTTTTGTTAATTTTTCAAATGCATCCTAGACTAAGGAAGTTTGTGCCTATGACTTACAGTTGCTGTATTACTGAACTCATTACAATATTGACCTGCATTGTAATAATACAGATGGCTGGAGAGAAACCCACATTTCTGATCTGTCCTCACTGTGCTCAGTGTTTTCTGTCCACAGGAAATGTGGATCTATTTACCACCTGGATGCCAGTCTTAGATCCTGTAGTGCACACTCCATGTTTGACATGTGCTGTAGCAGGCTCTCCTCCTGGACTCCTGTTTCAGGACTTTTTCCCAGGGGGAGCTAAATGTTTTGCCAGTTACTGTTGTTGAAGTATTACAAGAAATCTGTGGAAATTCAAACAGTTTTGACAATTAAAAAAGCTGCTGTTACAATGTTGTACATTTGCATGTATAGTCAAAATGTGATTATATTGTATTCTGTTTATACCTGTAAATTCCCTAAATTAAAATGGGAATCTGGCAAATGCAATCCACTTTTTCAGTAACAGACACTGTCGCACAATAAAATAAAAATACTGCCTCGTGCTGAGGTATTTTAGTAGCATCAGCGGAAGACTTCAGAATGAGATGTGGGAATAAAATGCACTGCTTTCCAAAAGCCTTCTGGTTTTCTTATTGTTGCTACTCCAGGGTGCTCATTTTTTGTTCATTTATAGTTATTCTTGTGCCTTTATACTGTCCAAGTTTCCTCAACATGTGATCACATGCTATAAATACTGTCATGGACAGAGGGACTGAGGACAGACAAAGGAGCACAGGAATCTGAAGTGCCAGGCCCTCTGTACAGCTTGAAGTTTCTGTGGTTCTCAGTGGTGATTTCTTTGGTTACGTATTTAAGGTGATTTAGTGTCACTGGTGTAACTGCTGTAACTTTAGAATAAATAAACATAAGATGATGCTCATTATTAATACTTCTATTATAAAACCATTGCATTATTAAAGGACTTAATATTTATATCATTTTACAGTGTTCAGTATTTGTGTTACCAGGTGTGTCACATGGCAAGCCTAGGAGATGACTTAAGCATTAACTTTTACCTGTTTCCTTTGGATGAAAGGTATGTAATCTACCTGTAGCTGAAACTGAGTTGTGCCAGACCAGGCTGTGGTTGGTGATTATTGCTGAACTCGTCTTAGCTCCACACAAATGTGCCTGCAGGTTGATATAGAGAATGAAACTGTCCTTGTTACCAGATAATAAATGAACCTGATGCACAATGACTGCTTTGATAATAAACATGAATTTCAGTGTCAACACATCCTCGAGTAACACCTGCTATAGCACCCCTAGATGTGCACGTACACACACATGCACGCACACAAATACAAACAGTACAACAAAAGCCAGACTCTGTCTTTCCTGAAATACATTATTTTCTCAAAGAAATTAAGGAGAGGACAGGTATTAAGAGGCAGGTACAGTTGAAATTTCTAAGGATAAATAACAGAAGTTGCATTCATCACTTGCAAATTGATCCTGTGTCTGCCATCAATTCCAGAAGGAAAATGAACGGCAACCTACAAAAAACCCACCTGAGAGTGAAAGAAATTTTACTGTTTATTAAGCAACACTCCAGAGCCCTCTCTGTGTCCAGAGATAGTTTATTGCCAGTGCTTAACAGCCTCCTGTAATTTGATTATGTCTGCGCTGCAAAGGCTTCAGTGGGCAGAAAGGTGCAAGCCCTTTAGGTCTGGTCTCTAAATTAACATTTGAACGTTTTGCTGCTTGTCATGGTTAAGGTTTAACACCTTAAGACTCTGCCTGTGTCCTGTATAATTTCACATATTGCTTTGAGGTTTCTTCTGTGTATTTGGCTAACCTGAAATCTCTAAGTGCAGTGCAGGCAGTCAACTCTGCCTCTCAATTAGTTGCTATATTCATGCTTCAGTAGCTTGTTGGGAGGTCATCAGGAAGCTTTTCACTTCAACCTTGCTCCTGTTGGGAATTGCTGAGCGTGCCCATGCCCTCCTTTCTCTTCCCTTGTTCTTGCTATATTTCCCAAATCTTGTTCCCAGTGTCCATCCCAAAAATCTCTGTCAGTGGTGGAGAACTTGCCACAGAAGCTTCTGTTATTTTTTTATTTTATTTTAATTTCTAGAAGGGCAGGGAAGGGATGGACCAGCAGGATCTTCTGTGTCCAGATTGCTTCCTGCTACCTTTGTGCATGTTTCTGCCCCCGCTGCATATCAGCTCCCTATATAGCTCAGCCGTGGCTGTGTCCCAGCTTCTCGTGGAGCTGGGCCAGGGCTGAGTACCAGTTTCCTGCAGAGCTGTGCTGTGCTCAGGACAGGCACAGGAATGAGGGCCCTCACTGCCAGCCAGCACTGAACTCTGGTTGTGCATGCTGCTGTGGATAGTTGTTATACACATAAAACCAGAAGAAGATTTTTCCACAGTAAGAACATTTTAAGTAATAAAGCTATAAACCTGCTGTGGAGCCAGGCTCAGTTTTGTTATAAGTGGACACTAAAAAAGCCAATCACTCTTCATGTGTGTATTGTGCTGGAATATGAGAGAGACAGCCTGAGAGGAAAACCTGGGGAGAGAATGTGAAAATAATGATTGAAGAGGTACATGGTACGGGATAAAGATGGATGGGGAAAATATGTGACTTACAAATTAGGATGGATTGGAAAAATGTGAGACTTTGCAGAACAGCAAAACGTTCTTGCATTAAAAAAAATAGTGACAGCATTAGAAACCCATGGCCAAACAGGTTGGGTGAATCTGCAGTGAGTGCACTGGAATCTGGGGCCCTGGAAGAGTGATACACATGAAGGAGAGAGGCAGTGAGAATGACCTGGCTAGGGGTGGATCTGCTCTTTGTGGTCCTGTGATGTTTTTCCTTACTGAACAGTTGTCAGA